AGGGACTAGCAGGGAGGGGAGAGACCTTGCAGTGTAATGAGCACCGATTGAGTGCTCCTCAGGAAAGGGGAGTGTTGGGCTTATCCTTTATCCCTTTCGCTACCAGAGCCGTGTTTGCATTTTTTGCACACGTTTAAAAAATAATTTAAGGCCTGAAGATTACACAAAACTCCAAAACATATATTTTCTGAAATCGGAGACCCTAGAGAATAAATTAGCGGTAGTTCCAAATTTTTTGTCACACTGTATCACAAAGGTCTAGGAAATGCAAAATTTCAGTAAAAAATAAACTTGTTAATTTTAGGGCACAAAAAGCAATAAATTATCCAATTTGTTTGTAATCTATAAAAAGACGAGGTTGCACTGAGTAAATAGATATCCAACATGTCCAGCCTTAAATTTTCGTGCACTCGTGAAATAGCGACAAACATTAGTAACCCTATATTTTCTATAGGTGACACTTTTAAAGCCCCTTATAGGTCATCAGTTTAGCGTTACGGAGGAGGTCTGGTGTTAGAATTATTGCTCTCATTCTGGTGTACGCGGCAATATGTAACGTGTATCGCGGTTGCCATTTTCATGCGTTGGCGCCCCAGCGCGTGCTTTTACATTTGTATATATATGTGGGGGTGGGGGGCCTTGAACATTTTTTTTTTTTGGGGGGGGGGGGTTATATGCTTGGGTGTAGCTTTAATTTTTAAAAATAAAAAAATAAAAATTTTAGCTGGGGACAAAAAATTCCCTATATGATGACTTTTGGTGACAAGTTCTCTTTTTGAGATATCTAGGGTCTAAAAGACCCTGCATGTCTGCCCTGTGCTTTACTGAATGTAATGCAGTGCACATCTCACTGCATTACATTCTTTACCAGTCTCGAAGGTTGAGAATCTGTCTCTGGGGACCCGGAAGTGACATGACATCACTTCCGGGTCAGGGCAATGAGGGGAGTGGATGTGTCCGCTCCCCTATACCCACTGGCAATCATCAAACTAGTTCCGTGCCCGCAGATGGGCAAGCGGAGCCCGGGACATATATCGGGCAGGGGGGAGAGGCTGGCGCTGTGGAAGCAATCGGCGGCAGCGCTACCACCCGAATGCTTCCACCTGACAGGTGTGCCCTGCTGCTTGCCCGCAGCAAGGCTAAAGGTAACCAAAAAAAAAAAAAAAAACAACCTGCCCTGCGCCCGGAACTACATGTGTCTGGCAATAGGAGTCAGACATCCCTGGGAACATATAGTAATTTCCTAATTGAAAGAATGACTTTTAACTTTCGACCTCTCATTCATGTGATGTTAGTACATAAACAATGTGCTCCTTTGTGTTGATGCTTGATATCAATAGAAACTAAATAAAATATAAATGAAGCTGAGCTATAAAAAATATAGTGTGTGTGTACACACAGTTAGGTCCATATATTTGGACACAGGCACGATTTTAGTTTTTTTTTCCAGGTATTTACCAAAACTTATTCAAGCTACAGTTCTATAATGGATATCGGCTGAAAGTGCGCACACTCAAGTTAATTTGAGATGTTTATCCAAATTGCAGGAAGAGTTTAGGAATTACAGCTCTTAAGAGTAGCCACCCCCCCCCCCCCTTTTTCAAGGGACCACAAGTAATTGGACAATTGAATATAATCATAAATGAAATGTTCATTTTTAATATTTTGTTGAGAATCCTTTACTGGCAATGACTGCCTGAAGTCTGGAACCCATGGACATTACCAAAGACATCCTCCTTTCTGCTGCTTTGCCAGGCTGCAGCTGTCTTCAGTTCTTTGTGGGTCTTTCTGCCTTTAGTTTTGTCTTCAGCAAGTGAAATGCATGCTCACTTGGGTTGAAATCAGGTGATAGACTCAGCCATTGCAGAATATTCCACTTCTTTTCCTTCAAAAGGTCTTGGGTTGCTTTTGCGGTGTGTTTTTGGATCATTATCCATCTGTACTGTGAAGCGCCGTCCAATCGCCATTGCTGCATTTGGCTTAATCCCGGTTGACAGTATATCTCTAAACACTGAAGAATTCGGCTGCTTCTGTCACATCACCAATGACCCAGTGCCACTGAAAGCCATGCATGCCCATGCCATCACACTGCCTCCACCATGTTTTACAGATGATGTGTTCTTTGGATCATGAGCTGTTCCAAACCTTCTCCACACTTTTTTCTCCCCGTCATTCTGGCACAGATTAATCTTAGTTTCATCTGTCCAAAGAATGCTTTAGCAGAACTGGTCTGGCTTTTTAGATGTTTTTTGGCAAAGTCTAATCTGGCTTTTCTATTCTTCAGGCTTATAAATGATTTGCACCTTGTGGTGAACCCTCTGTATTTGCTCTTGTGAAGTCTTCGCTTGATTGTAGACTTTGACAATGATACGCCCACCTCCTGGAGAGTGTCCTCCGCTTTTCTTGATGTTGTGTTTTCTTTACCATAGAGAGGATCCTGCGATCATCCACCACTGTTGTCTTCTGTGGTCGTCCTTGCCTTTTTATGTTGCTGAGCTCACCAGTGCATTCTTCTTTACTCAAAATGTATCAAACTGTTGATTTTGCCACTCCGAATGTTGCTGCTATTTCTCTGATGGATTTTTTTCGTTTTTGAAGCCTTACAATGGCCAGTTTTACTTGCATGGACAGCTCCTTTGAACGCATGATATAGGTTCACAGCAATAGATTCCAAATGCAAATTCCACACTTAGAATCAATTCCAGACTTTACCTGCTTAATTGCTGAAGAAATAACAAATGAGTAGCCCACACCTGGCCATGAAACAGCTTTTGATTCAATTGTCCAATTACTCTTGATCCCTTGATAAAGTGGGGTGGCTACTCTTTGAGAGCTGTAATTCCTAAACCCTTCCTCGAACTTGGATGTACATACCCTCAAATTAAACCTGAGAGTGTGCACGTTCAGTCTATATCCATTATATAACTATAGCCTGAATTAGTTTTTTTCAGGTATTTGCCAAAACATAAAGTGTGCCTGTGTCCAATTATATATGGACCTAATTTATTTTCAATAAATTTCAGCAGCATTTTATTTCATTGGATTATTAACATCTTCAATGTGATTTTCACCATTGTGTGTATACACTGCTCAAAAAAAATGAAAGGAACACTTTTTAATCCGAGTATAGCATCAAGTCAATTAAACTCCTGGGATATTGATCTTGTCAGTTAAATAGCAGAGGGGGGTTGTTAAGCAGTTTCAGCTGCTTTGGTGTTAATGAAATTAACAGGTGTACTAGTTGGGCAACAATGAGACGACCCCCAAAACAGTAATGGTTTTACAAGTGGAGGCCACTGACATTTTGCATTGGCTAGGGTCAGTGTCACTACTGGTAGCATGAGGCGATACCTGGACCCTACAGAGATTGCACAGCCAGTCCAACTCCTCCAGGATGGCACATCAATAAATGCCATTGCCAGGTTTGCTGTGTCTCCCAGCACCGTCTCAAGAGCATGGACGAGATTATAGAAGACAGGCAGTTACTCTAGTAGGAGAGCTGGATAGGGCTGTAGAAGGTCCTTAACTCATCAGCAGGTTCAGTATCTGTTCTTTTGTGCAAGGAGGAACAGGATGAGCACTGCCAGAGCCCTACAAAATGACCTTCAGCAGGCCACTGGTGTAAATGTCTCTGACTAAACAGAAACAGACTTTATGAGGGTGGCCTGAGGGCCTGACATCCTCTGCCCTGTGCTCACTGCCCAGAGCTCAGAGCTCAGTTGGCATTTTCCATCGAACACCAGAATTAGCAGGTCCACCACTGGCACCCTGTGCTTTTCACAGATGAGAGCCGGTTCACCCTGAGCACATGTGACAGACGTGAAAGGGTCTGGAGAATCAGTGGAGAACATTATGCTGCCTGTAACATTGTCCAGCATGACCGTTTTGGTGGTGGGTCAGTGATAGTCTGCGAAGGGCATATCCATGGAGGGACGCACATACCTCTACAGGCTAGACAATGGCAGCCTAACTGCCATTAGGTATCTGGATGAAATCCATGGACTCGTTATCAGACCCTACGCTGGAGCAGTGGGTCCTGGGTTCCTCCTGGTACACGACAATGCCCAGCCTCATGTGGCAAGAGTATGCAGGCAGTTCCTGGAGGATGAAGGAATTGATACCATTGAATGGCCCCCCATGCTTGCCTGACCTAAATCCAATAGAACACCTCTGGGATCTCATGTTTCAGCCTGACGCTGCCAGGTTGCACCTCAGACTGTCCAGGAGCTCAGTGATGCCCTGGTCCAGATCTGGGAGGAAATACCCCAGGACACCACCCATCGTCTCATTAAGAGCATGCCCTGATGTTGTCAGGCATGCATACAAGCACGTGGGGGCCATACAAACTACTGAGTGCCATTTTGAGTTGCAATGAAATTCCAGCAAAATGGACTAGCCTGCTCCATCTTTTCACTTTGATTTTCGGGGTGTTTTTGAATTCAGTCCTCTAGGTTGATAATTTTCATTTCCATCAAACGATGGGGCATCCTTACGTTCCTAACACATTACCCAGTCCATATCAGTATAGATATCCAGCATGAGATCTGATGTGTTTTCAAAGTGTTGAGGGCAGCATTACGAAGCAGTCTGAGTGCTGTATTGCTCTGTAGTGTTGCCTAACAATCTGAGCACATTTCCTGAAGAGTTGAGCTGTGTGATTTCATCAGTGTTTTGCTTCTACTTCCTTCTCCAATCTTAGGTTGGAGGCAGGTTGCTGACCAAGCTGTATTGTTTAACAGCAGTGGAGAAACAATGATATCACTACCCAGCTGTGGTTTCTGGCAGTGGTGCCTGGGTCACAAAATTGGCTGAACATATTTACAGATCATTTAAAAAGGTAATCAAATAATACATTTGCCTGGAGTTCAGCTTGACATTTTAGGTTCTAAAATTAAAACATGCATGCCCCAGATATGTTAACATTCAGGATTTTTTCATCTGTATAGCAGTAGACATAAGTTGTATATGTTTTAATGCGTCTGTCACTTTTCTCTCTTCAGTAGGCAGCAAGAAATTGAAGAAAAACTCATAGAGGAGGAGACAGCGCGTCGTGTAGAAGAGTTGGTGGCCAAGCGCGTAGAAGAAGAATTGGAGAAGCGTAAAGATGAAATAGAACGAGAAGTTCTGCGCAGGGTTGAGGAAGCTAAACGCATCATGGAAAAGCAGTTGCTCGAAGAACTCGAGCGACAGAGGCAGGCAGAGCTAGCTGCACAGAAAGCCAGAGAGGTAACGCTCGGTCGTTTGGAAAGTAGTGACAGTCCATGGCAAAACTTTCTCTTTTTTTTTTTTTTTTTGTTTAGTTCTTATTTTTCAGATAGTATATACAGATTTGTTTCTGCTTCTTTCTGGGTCAGTTACTGAGTTCTTAAAAGAATATCATTGTTCTGCGTTGGGTGTGATTGGCATCACATGTGGCTTGTAATCTGTTGAACTGTTAAGACTTTATTCCTGAAAGATGCCATTTTAGGGGTTTTGAAGAGTTGTTGACATGCACTTGAAACTTTTGCCATGGCTGTAGTGTTTTGAACATTTGATCCTATTTCAAGATATTCTTCTGAAGAAAAAAAAACTGTAGCTGCTGACAGCTAATGTGCCAAGCTCTGTAAAGAATTGAAACAGTTGGCCTAAATGCTACAGTAACTGACAAGGAGCTAAGTTAATTTGGCTTCCCTGCTTTAGAGGATGTTTTTTATTTCCTTCATTTAAGCACTAACCCGCTGAATGTGCTTATTCTCAAAATAACCTTTGTTTTTCTTCCCACTTGTTTGTCCAGTTCATCATTAACGAATATTGAACAACTAGTCATAACATCCTTTCCTCCTCATAGATCTCTTGGAAGATATCAAGTTGCCCTCATTTAAGTTTAAATATATTGCTTTCCAACAGGTGGAGCATAAACAGAAAATGTATCCATATAAGACAGTAATTGGCTACTGACTACTATTGTTTTATATACTGTTGTCAAAAGCCATTAAAACAAACTTGTGATGTGATATTTTTGTTTCTGGTCAATTTTAAAATGTTGACACCCCTTAAACTGGATATCCCTTAAAAGGGGTTTTCCAAATATATTTCCTTTGTGCAGCTTGCCTGTGTTTTTATAGCAAGTTGATAATGGGGCACAAGCACATTTTATTAGTGATATCCTGAAAGCCCATGGCTTTGTTAAAGTAAAATGTAATTCCAGTATACTAAAAATCATTGCTGGGCTGTTTTTGCAAAGTTTATTGTAAAACCCATGCCTTCCTCTGCTTTATCAGTACCAAGCATAGCTGTTCTACTGCAATTCTGAAAATTATTGCCAAGTGGGAATTTTTCCTTTTACAGTTTCATGAGACATCTCATGCCACTGGCATTCTTTTAAACATGCAAACTTGTGAAACTCCCAGTGCAGTAAACCTACCTGCCATATGCCATGTTAATGGCTGCCTCTGATTCAACCACAGGTTTTGCACAAATCTTTGACATGCAGTGAGCCACTTACTGATGTATTAGATGGAAATCCTATCCACAAACAGAACAGTGTCAGAAGAAGGAAGTCAAATTTCAGATGTCAGTTGAAATGAGCAAATCATGGCTGACTGCAGATGAAAATGGAAAAATCATTTTTTAAATTATACATAATTACAAAACGACCTTTGAAGCAGTTGTAGTTTTATATCAGTTGTAACTACAGTTGATTTTTTCCCTTCTTTTCTAATAAATTCCAAAGGGGAAACTTTATACCCTAAAATTTCATTTCTGCATGTCTTGGAATATACAAAAACTATCTTCTGCATTTAAGTCTTCTGCATTTATTGGGGTTCAGAAGCCATTCAGGTTAGAATGGATAGGATTATATATGTTTAGCAAATCTGTGTTTAGTTTAAGCAGGGGAAAGCAACAGATTCACTTAAATATCAGCCCCAACAGCACATGCTCATCATTTACTTCATTCCCCTGCTGCTTGGTTCAGCTTCTGAGTACAAAGAAAAACACTGGGTACATTTGGATAATGGAAGCAAGTGACTTTCTTGCTTTCGTTCCATGTGACAGTGCTATTGCCTGATAATTGGGTCCTCAGGCAGCCTGCTTTGTCACACGAGGATGGGTAGAGAGATTCATTAGTCCTGTATAAACTTTAACACAATACTCCCAATGCACATGCTCGTGCGGAGTGGCTGTAATGTAAATGGGTCCTGCAGCGACCACTGGCTGGAACTGCAAATAATCAAAGCAAGAGAATGTCACCAGCACACCACGGATCTTCAGAATGGGTCAAAAGTGTTATTCGGCGATCACATTGCAACAGAAGCATTGTATGGGAGCCATGCAGGACCCCTTCATCGGGCATGTCACAACATGGCTCCCAAACGTTACAATGATGTGATCTCTGAATAAAGCTTTGGGACCCGTTCTGGAGTTCCATAGTGTGCTGGTAACATTCTCTTGCTCTGTATAAACTTTAGTTCCCGACTGGAGCTTACATGGGGCTTCCTCTGTTTGCTTGTTGTGGGTAAGGGGGAGGATGTTATGTATATGTAGCTGGTGCGACTGCTATTAAAGTGAACATGTTGTTTTTGTATTGAAGGCAAGGTAAATGGTTGAGGTCCAGACTGTTTAACACACACTTTGAGCCTGACTGTTCCATTCATCTAAGCAGTCCCAATCATAATGCAGGTAGTCAAAATAGGAAAAGAAAAGTGAGCGCTTGTCCTAAAAGCGGCTGAGCACTCTAAGCAACTGATATAGACTTAAAACAGAATAACATAAAAATAGTGCAGCGCTAAAAGTAGTGATCATAAAACAGATATGAGTCCACTGTAAGTCCAGGTCATAAAGACGTGTCAAGTGACAAGTAGGGATTCAATGTTGGTGATCCGTGAGGAAACGGCTGAAAAACGCACTCACCAGAAAGAAGACACATAAACGCAGTATTTATCCAGAGCTCATGGATCCTCAATCCAGAAGAAAGTAAAGCTGGTCCGGTTACAGGGAAAAGGGTCCCTCCTCTGTGGATGCAGCAACAGATCCTCCTCTTCCCAGTTAGATGTAGGATTCTAAAGTCAGGGTTCTGCAAGCAAAGTGCTCCTCATAATGCGCCTATACGTCTCTTTTCTGCCAGGAAACATTGAATTTCTGTACTCAAGCAGCCTGTGGTAGCTACAAAGGTAGCTAGGAAGGGCAGAGTCCATGCTGGAATTAGTAGTTCTTTTGTAGCTACCACAGGCTGCCTGAGTACAGAAATTCAAAGTTTCCTGGCAGAAAAGAGACGTATAGGCGCATTATAATGAGGAGCACTTTGCTTGCAGAACCCTGACTTTGGAATCCTTCATCTAACTGGGAAGAGGAGGATCTGTTGCTGCATTAACAGAGGAGGGACCCTTTTCCCTGTAACCGGACCAGCTTTACTTTCTTCTGGATTGAGGATCCATGAGCTCTGGATAAATACTGCGTTTGTGTCTTCTTTCTGGTGAGTGCGTTTTTCAGCCGTTTCCTCACGGATCACCAACATTGAATCCCTACTTGTCACTTGACACGTCTTTATGACCTGGACTTACAGTGGACTCATATCTGTTTTATGATCACTACTTTTAGCGCTGCACTATTTTTATGTTATAATGCAGGTAGTGCTTGACAGTGAAGCATTACACTTATTGCATTTCTCTACATACAGTCACCAACCAAATCTTTCCTTTTACAGTATCTTTTGTTAGTTTTGGAGCTAAGAGATTTTTCTGCTTTCTCTGTTAGTTCTCCTACCTTAATTTACTGGGGTTGAGTAAAATAAGTTTTAAAACAATAGGCAGTAGCCTGTTATGTGTCTTCTTTTATGTACCATTGTTTTTCTTTAACCCCACTGTGTACTTAGTGTTTCTCAACAATCTAGAGAAGTTTGAATTTTGCATAAACTTAACAAAAATTTCTTATTTTGCGCAAGTTAATGTATATATCGATTTTATTAAATATGAACGTAGCTTTAAAGGTGCACTCCTACAAATAAAATATTTTATAGAGGGCACCCTTATTATTCTAGGAGTTATCTGCAGTCATACTTGGTCCATGCAGTTGTCATTCAAATATTATATTGATAGAAATTAGTTGGAAAACCAGTCATAAAGATTTTGATTTGATTGTCCAGAGTATGGATTGCACCTTTAAACACACAAAGCATTGCATCTTACACTTAAGTTTTCCCCAAAGCCTCAGAATGGATTGCATTTGACTAACAATAAAATGTATTATTTGTTATTACTTGTTTGCCTTAGGAATGATGAATTACATATTTTTGTTTCCTCTTATGATAAACATCTGCATTCCTCAGCTCAGCCTTCCTTGTATGTTTCATAAAATTGGTTGAGCTGCTGATGGCAGGTGTTGCCAAGCTAACAGTACAAATCATTTTAAAGAGGAAGCTGGCGCGTATGGCAGCTGAGGATCACACTCTGCAGGACACTGGACAAGACAGTAAATATTCAACTTTTAATGCTGATTAAAGGAGTATAGGTAAAGAATACGTAGGTATACATTATTGGTGAGAAAAACTATTCCCTTATCTTTATATATTTCTGTTTTTTCCTTTAATTTCATATACACTACCCGGTTTTGTAGTTGTCCTTGTTGATATGTCTGACTGTAATTAAAACAGCTCTGGCAGGGCAGGATAGGGAGGGTTTATTTGCTGTTTGGATTGGGAGGGTTAGGCTGAACTTAGTGATAGAAAAATGTATGCTAGTGATGATTGCAGTTTGATGTGTTATTGAAAGTATTCGGTGGCTATAGTGCCGCCCCTTAAGTCCTAATAGGAATTGAGGCAAATTAGAGGAAGATGAACACCTGAGTTTTGCAGTTTTCTAACATCTCTTTATATCCTCCATATAGGAAGAAGAAAGGGCAAAGCGTGAGGAGTTGGAGCGAATACTTGAAGAAAATAACCGTAAAATTGCTGAAGCACAAGCTAAATTGGTAAGGGTTCTGTCCATAACAGTCCTGCATAGACAATTTTTTAGTGTTTTTTACTTTATCCACTCTTTGTTACAACCTCATATATTGTAATGTTTTCCTTATTCTTTGTGATGTATAAAAATTAAACTTTACAAATATCTAGTGCCTTGGAAATTGTCTTTGGATAATACAGTACTGTATAAATCCCAAAAATCAGGTAGCCTTTACTCCTAAGAATAACAGCTGGCATTTCTTCCCTGACTCCTAGAAATCGTCATTTTGTTCTAAGTTCATGGTTTGGTCTGAATAGGTGCTTGGTAGGCATTGTTTAGGATTCCCACAGACTTGAAACGGCAGGCAGACATGCAGGCATGATCTGACTGTCTGGCACCCATGAGTGTTTTTGCTGCTGCGAACAATAATAATTTTCTCAGCCACATTTTCTGGGGTGGTTAGAAGTGGGGGGGGGGGGGGGGGAGCAGTGGTGGAACACACACCTTTATCTTTATCAGTAGTGATTGTACAAGGTTTCAAACCTGACTTTTTTTATTCACATATTTGTAGGCAGCTTTTAGATTTGACAGAACAGATATATTTTTTATTTTATCTTTATTAAATTTTTCCAGTACAAAAATATAACAAACCCAAAATGTATCGTACTCAGTTTCATAAATCTCTTTTCCAACATCTTATCCCCCACCCCTCTCTTCCTCCCACTGTCCAGATCTTGATAACTAAATTCTTACTCCTTATAAACCTATCTATCTGTCTATATCCCCATCCCTCTCCCGACCTCTCGCTCTTTCAAGTTCTCAGTCAAGCTCTCTCCATACCAGTTCTAAGAATCTTTGAGATGTTTTAAAGTCTAACCAACTAATCCACATTTTCCTGAATTCTTCCATTTTATCCTCCTCCATATGACATAGTTCCTCCATCCTAAAAATATTTTCTACTCTTAGCCAATCATTTACTCTTTGTGACTCCGGAGCTCGCCAAAACTTGGGAATCAAGCTCTTCGCCGCACTGATTAAATTATATAATACCCTGTTTTTATACTGTTTGCCAATGGGCTCTGAGTATAATCGACATGTCCACGGGTCCATTTGTATAGTGATCCCGCTGATTTTTGGAAGCAGTTAATTATTTCCTTCCAAAAACCATGTATTTTCGGGCAGTCCCACCACATGTGTGCCATTGTACCCTTTTTCCTACAACCTCTCTAACATAAAGGTGAAACATCAACTTGCTGTTTGTGCCACACTCAGTGTAATATACCAGCTCCTCAAACATTTGTAATTCATTTCTACTGTGCTCATATTTGTAACCCCATGTGTTAATTTAAATATTTTATTCCTTTTGTTGTTCATTCAGTTCTGTTCAAAACTCCTTTTACCATTTTTCTAAGAACCCGGGAGGATCAGCTCCCTCCATATCTATCAGGATCTTGTATATCCTGGAAGTGACTTGTTTTGGAACTGTATTACCATTCAACACGTTTTCAAATGGGTACATATCCTCTGAGGCCCTTAGTGGTTGAGGGAGTAATGAAACAAAATGCCCTAATTGTCCATACCGCCACTCATCTAATGTGAAAAATAATTTTTTCCCCTTAAACTCTTGATATGTGTATAATTTCCCCTTATGCAAAATATCCTTCAAACGTGCATTTTTATCTTTAATCCATTTACCAGAAATTATATCCTTTCCTGGAGGGAAATACTCTGTACCCTCCAAAGGAATCAAACCGGAATTATATTTCCATGCTTTGTGCTTATAGATTCTATCCCACATACTTTTAACACTTTTTTTTGTTAAAGGACTAATATTCTCATCTAGTGTACGAAATTTATGTGGTATCCATGCAATCTTCCCTAGCTGTACTTTACTTAGTGTTCCTTCCATATTTACCCACCTTTCCCTTTTGAATTAAATGTCCAGTCTACTATTCGTGATAACGCCACTAAATAATAATTCCTAAAATTTGGCAACCCCAGTCCCCCGTTCCTTTTTACCCTACACAATACATCATAACTGATTCTCGGTTTCTTATTTGTCCATATAAACCTGAGCATCAACTTCTTTATTACCCTGAAGAAAAACCCTGGCAGGTTTATTGGGAGCATATGAAACTTGTAATTTTTGGGACTATCACCATCTTTACCAGGTTTATATGACCTATCCAGGAAGCTCCTCCCTTTGATAGTCTCCCCAACTCGCCCTTTATTTCATTAATTAAGGGGATGTAATTTGCCTCGTATAACCTTTTTATTGAACGAGTTAGTTTTATTCCCAGGTAGCCTATTTCCTTTTCCTTCCATGTAAATGGAAACTCTTTTTGAAGACTCAACTTCTCTTGCTTTGGGATGTTAACATTTTAAGATCTGACTTTGCAGGGGTTATTTTCAGATTTGACAGCTCACCATATTGTTTTAACAACCTCATTAAATTGGGCAACGTTATGTTATTTTATATAGTGAATCCTAGAATATCGTCTGCGTATGCTGCCACCTTATGCTCCACTTCCCCTATCTTTATTCCCACTATATTTATACACCGTATTACCCTTGCCAAGACAGGTTTCAGTGATAGTATAAACAACGATAGTGGGCATCCCTGTCTGGTACCGTTATGCATTTTAAAAAATTAGGAGAGGGATCTGTTGACCTTGACCGCCGCTGTTGGACCATTCTAAAGCCCTCTTAGCCACTTCAACATTTTGGACCCTAGTCCCAAGTATTCTAACGCATCAAACATAAGTCCCCAGTCGACCCTGTCAAAAGCCTTCTCGGCATCTATCTATTGAAATATTGTTGGCTGTTTCTCTCTCCTTACTTTTTGTAAAAAGTGCAATGATCTCAGACCATTGTCCCATCCCTCTCTTTCAGGGATAAATCCTACCTGATCCAGATGTACCCACTCAGGCATCAGCTCCTTCAATCTAGTTGCCAAAACCCTAGAAAACAATTTTGTATTGACATTTAGTAAAGATATGGAAATATAGCTAGCACACTGAGCTGTCCTTGCCTTCTTTGAGTATGATTGTTATATGTGCTTGCAATGATTCTTCCCTCATTTGCATCCCATCCCCGATTGCATTCATGTAACCACACATTTTGGGGACCAGAAGATCTCTGAATTTTTTAAAATAACCCACAGTATATCCATCCGCACTAGAGCTCTTTCCTGGGGCCGTGCTCTTTAAGGCCAAACTATATTCCTCCAGGCTAATAGTTCTCTCTAGGGCCTCTAGTTTTTCTTCTGCTAATCTTGGCATCTCTACCTCCTTTAATTATAGTATAGTATTCTAGAAACCGATTAGTGAGATCAGTGGTGAAATACACCAGTTCTCCTTTTACCAGTTTGATTTTTATCTATAAAATGTTGGGATTTCTTTTCCTTTAACCTCCTCATTAGATCTTTTCCAGGTCTATTCCCCTACTGATATCTTTCCCTTGATACCTTATTAAATATCTTCCTCAACTCCTGTTCCGTAAGATCTTTTAGTTCTTCTTTTTTAAAGATTATCTTCTGATAAATATCCCTGCCTCTTTTTTTTTTTTTTTTTTTTTTTTTTTTTTAAATGTAACTGTTCTAACTTCTATAGCTCATCCGTCACCTTTATTTTTTCCCCCCCTCCTCCTTTTTTTTTTTTTTTTTTTTTTTTTTTGCCCCAATCGCTATCAATATTCCTCTGATATATGCCTTATGAGCCTCCCACACTGTGGCTACAGAAACCTCCTTGGTCTCATTAAACTCAAAAAAATTGCTTGATTTTCCTGTCTAATCTTTTTCTCTATTTCAGGATCTTGTATGAGCATCTAATTTAGTCTCCAGGTAGTTTTTTGTCCTGCTCCACTCCCACCCGAAGTCTCATTGTGACAGGAGCTTGATCAGAGATAGACATAACATCTATATTGGAGCTAACCAGCAACTCCAATTGTCTATGCTCGATCTATATATCATCCAGTCTTTAGTATGTTCCGTGTACTGGAGAGTAGGAGTATTCTTTCTCTTGGATGTTTTACTCTCCAAGAGTCGGTCAATTGACCTTGATGTAGTAACCTCTTCAATGATTTTAATTTCTTACCACCCTCTTTTGCCGTACCACATGACGTATCCAAATGCGGATCCAGACACAGATTAAAATCTCCTGCCACAACCAGATTGCCCCTTTTTAAATTCAGAGATTTTTCTTAACGCAGCCTCCAAGAATGTTACTGGATTTTTACTCGAATAGTAGATATTAACTAATGTATATTCAGTTCTTTGTAATCTTCCCTTCAAGAATAGAAACTGACCCTTTGGGTCCTCCAATCTCCCCTCTGGGGTGAAGCTAACATTTTTTGAAAACCAAGTTGCTACCCCTTTAGCCCTTTTAACTGGGGAATCAGCATAATACCATGTTGGATAGTACTTCGAATATAACTTAACGTTTGTATTAAAAGTTATGTGTCTCTTGTAGAAACACTACATCTATGGAATGTTTGTATATTTCCCTAAGTATCTTTTGTCTTTTTGTCGGGGAGTTTAATTCTTTTACGTTGTAAGTGAAACTTAATCACGCTTATTTCTGGTGTTCTTTATCTTATCCACTTGCCCAGCACGGGCACAGATAAAAACTATTTAAGATATGGACCTTCCCCTCCCCCCTCCTACAACCTCCCCTCCACCACTTCCCCTTCCCCTTAGACCCTCGTGGCCTGGAATCTGTCGTAGGTATTTTCCACTGATGATTCCTAATTTGGGGTGGCACTAACACATGTTCGCTCCAATCCCTACTTTGTAACATTGGTTAGATTGGAGTTTGACAGCATGTCTATTCTCCGGGTTACCCACCTGAACAATTTTTCTTTACCCCTTCTTCCCTCTCGACCATCATCACACCTAGGCAGGGGGAAACCAGGGCAGGGAATTCATAGCACAACCGGGAGAGGGCCACGTGGCATCGGAGAAAAAAAAAAAGGGGAAGGGGGGAAGAGACAGGAACAGCATCCCCTTTGCCAAAACTATACCTAGGGACTCTTTATCACCCGTCCCACAGGCCTCCCCCACACTGCGATTCCCCCTGGACTCTTGTCAGGGCCGCCCCATCAGACTTTCAGGAACACCTGTGGGGGGTACTGTTGTGTCTTTGCGAGTAGTTCGTGGGGTCTCTAGGACTCATATTTTTGGCGTCATCCTAGGGAGGTGTCCTTCCCGAGCTCGATACAATCTTCGTCCATAGACCCTCCCTGCTCTCCTGGACCTTTTCAGATTCCCCTATTGTCAGGGAACTCCTCTATTGACTGGGTTACCCAGCTCTCCTCTTCCTGCTCCTGGACTGTCAGGATCTCATGGCTCCTTGCAGTCGCCACCCACAGACCCTCCGGCCGCTCAGGAGACCCGGCTCCAGGGAGATCCTCCGTCCCCACCAGCTACTACCGGGACTGTACGGCCATTAGCTCACTCCTCCGGTGAGTACAGGGCAGCGGGGAGAGAGCTTCACTTAGCACAGCGAGCGCCCCGAACCGCGCGCGCCCCTCCCCCCAGTGAAAACACATTTTTTTAAAGGCAGGCCATGCAAACTTTCCAAATGCCTATCTGAAAGGTTCTTAACCAGTTGTGCTTTGAGGTGTTTCTCTTTCATCTTTTCTCCTCCAGGTTAACATCTGAGTTCTGTTGTTACTTGTCATTAGCAGCAAGTTGCTGAAATGAGCTGTTCTTTTCTTATCCTTAGTGTGTTGGGCTATTTAACCACTTGCCAATCGCGCTATAGCCAAATGACGGCTAAAGAGCGGTTGTCCAGTTCTGGAAGGATGTCCTCCCAAAACACGCATCCAGCGGCGTGCACCCGACGATCTCCATGATCACTGTGTCCTACAGACACAACTGATCATGTGATGTATGGGGGGGGGGGGGGGGTGTCTTCCCTTCAATCCGTTCTCAGACCTCTCCTCATTGAGCTCTGCACACAGCAACTTCAGCACACTGCTTCCTTTTTTCTGAACTGTCAGACAAGCTTTTATAACATCAGTCCTTTGGATGTAGAGAAGATTGCAGCTAAGAGTACAAGTTATGTAGGAGGATTTGTTTCATCTGTTTATTGCCTGAGGTTAGTCCCTTCACTGGGTATGCGTAAGGGTTTACAACCACTTTACATTTTTTTTTTTTTTTTTGAATCGCATAGTTTATTAATCACTTACCTACCGTGCACTTTCACCCCCTTCTTGCCCAGGCCAATTTTCAGCTTCAGCCCTGTCGCACTTTGACAATTGCGCCGTCATACAACACTGTACCCAAATGAAATTTGTATAATTTTTTTTTTTTAAGACAAATAGAACTTTCTTTTGGTTGTATTTAATCACCACTTGGTTTTTCATTTGTTGCTAAACAAATATAAAAAGATTGAAAATTTTGAAGAAAAAAAAAAAAAAAGTTTGTTTATAAAGTTTTGTAAGTAATTATTTTTTTTCCTTCACTTATGTGAGCTAATGTGGCGGCACTGTTAGGCGCCACTAATTATCATTGTAGGTGTCCCTTCTTTAGTTCGCTGCTTACCACTGACTAGCTGACTGCACTGTACCCATTTTTTTTTTTTTTTGACTATAGCGCGGTTTGCAAGTGGTTAAATAAAGTATAAGTATTGCTTATTAAGTATTTTGAAAGCACTATATACCATCAGTTGATTAAAGAACACTCATTGTATGACCATCTTGAACATGCTTTGTATCAGTTTTCCCAGCCCAACTCCAGCAGAACATTTTTTTTCATAGGGTTGGTGGAGCCTCTGTCACGTTTGTATTGCAATCTGGCTCTCTATTGAGGGGACAGGATAGGAAAAAATAGGAAAATCTCCACAATGTACACAAATAGAAATAAAAATACAAAACCTGGACAGTTAGGTTAATACCTCTTCCTCACTCTATCCAAAACTAAGTAACAATTTTTTTGTGTAGAGGGTGTAGTTTGTGCTTATGAACGTTTTTTGATTGCTATTCCATTTCTTCAATCCTAGGCTGAGGAGCAATTGAAAATTGTTGAAGAACAAAGAAAAATACATGAGGAGAGAATGAAATTAGAACAAGAGAGACAACGACAACAAAAAGAAGAGCAAAAAATTATTTTGGGCAAGGGAAAGTCCAGGCCGAAATTATCTTTCTCATTAAAAAGCCCAGATTAAACGGCATGAACTATTTCCAAACCAAAACAAGACTGTATGGTAGCTTCATGTTGAAGTGTTTTTTTTTTTTTTTTTTTTTTTTTCCTTTTTTTTTATGTCTGGAATATCAAATATCATTTCTCAAAGGGGCTGTGCTCTAAACTCCGTAACATTATATTTTTTATGTATAATTTTTTTTTTTTTTTAATTAAATTGAAGTTAAATTCTTATCAGATCATTAGCAGAGTTTATACTGTTAATTCTGTACTAAAGTGGACTATAAGTATTAGATGCCAGGTACTCTGGGATTTTGAAGGTTTGGACAACCTTTCTGGATTTTTTTTTTTTTTTTTTAGCACCCTACCTTCTGTGGAAGTCTACTGGGTGGGTTAGAAAACTTGGATAAATAGATAATGGTTCTTCACTGTTGGTGCAGTGGTAATCTCTTCAGCATTCTTAATGCGTGTTCATTAAAAATGGGCTTGCGTGTTTACGAGCACTGGAGAAAAAAACAATCAGGATGAGCATTTTGTTGCTAAACCTGGGATCATCTTGACAACTTCTGCATTTAGATCTTGGTGCTGTGGACAAAGCTGCATTTCAGCATTTAGTGCCTGACCACCAAAGAGAACAGTTCTCTAAGGTGCTTGCTGCTCATGTACTGCTTCAAGGACCACTAAATACAGTAGCCTCAAATGACTCCAGGTACAGTGACAAGAAGCTTGGGAGCATTATGCTTCTTTGCGCTTCATGATCTGGTAAGCTTTTAACTAACCCCAGTGGCGTCATTTTTTCACTGATAGAATACTATTTGTGATAATTTTTTTATAATATTAACTAAAATTTGCACCCATTCAACTCCTCAGTATTGTTGGAACATTGTAGTGTATTGTAACATCAGTGTCCCCATGATGCTATTCCACTTGCACTTGAAGTCCTGGTACAGGTAAGGATACAAATAGTCAAAATCACCTCAGAGTCTCTCTAGTTCAGTATTGTCCATGCAGAATTGTTTTTAACCTGTTTGATGCAATCTGACCCAATTTTCCACAGTGTAAATACATCAATTTGCTGAATAAAGTCTTAATTGCGTCATGTATGTTGTGAATATTTTATTTGCTATAGGTTCTTTTATTTATGTTTTCAATACAAAACAATTTTAATATGTTAACAGAGTGTGAGCATACTGTTTTTTTTTTAAGCCCCGCTTACTAGTTATGATGGCTTGTCTTCATCACACATACTTGCCTGCCCAGCAGATCCAGCTTTGTCCTGGTGCGATCCTCTGTTCAGGGGTCACAACCCAGGTTCTGCTGCACCATCTCTGTCATTCTCAGTGATAGTTAGCCAGCTGCCCTTTCCAGGTTCTGACAGCTGGCCCTGATGATGTGTGCATGCTTTGCCCATGGCTGCTGTGTGTTCCTAATCTAGCCTCCTTTGTTAGAAGGAACAAGTCATTCTAGCCTAGGTGAGAATTGTAGGAGTTGGGCAAATACATTTTAAAACTCAAACATGTATAAACAAAATAAGGCAGAATGTCTAAAGAAAGGAATATGGTTTTGGTTAGGAAAGTAGACAATAGTCACCTTTTTATAGGTGCTGACTTTCCCTTTAACAAATAGGACCGTTATGAATATTGTAAGGTCTCCATGTTGGTAAGAGCAACCTGCTCCTGCCTCCAGCATTTTACAAAGCACAAACCAAGTGCAGTTTTTATACCGAGCTTGCTATTCTGTGAATGTTCGTTTATGCTGACTGAGTACCGTGCTACAGCTGCAGTATCATGTTTAAACAGCTGGTTGGCTTAACTGCCGTAGACAAATGCCTGAATACCTAACGCCTTCTAATTATAACATAAAAATGCATGCAGTAGCAATCAAGTAAATTCATCATCTTCAATAGAAATTGCGATTTTGAGCTTAACAAATGTTCTGGAAATGGAGCACAGACTTTGCAGCAGCTATAAAATACAGATCCCATCAATGCAAATGTCCACCAATTATACTTTCTTTATAATACAGAAGTACATGTGTTTTTGTTCATGTAGAACCTTTAGATTGTGTTCTTGTTTTCATTTCTGCAGAAGAGATTTATTTAAGTGTTCTTGCCCTGAAAGCTTGTAAAATAAACGTACATTTTGGAGGTGGTGGGGGTGCTCAGAAGGTGTACAATATTTGGTCATAGTGATCTGTAAGCTTACACCACTTCATTTAGTAAGGAAAGTATGGTTTATTTTAAAAAGGTGTGGGCCTGTGAATGAAATTAAAACCTAGATGAAATGTGCAGCAAAGGTGCATTGCAGCATTCTTAGTGCTGGTAATAAATGACTGTGCAGACGTTTTAAATCTTCTACTATAAAAGCAGTTCTGCTGCCCTGACTAGATTTTTTTTTTTTCCCCTAAAATTTTCAAAATTTATGCATAAGGGGCATAATCAGTAAGGCAGTGCAAAGCTCCATAACCCATAGTATGCAGTGTGGTTTAATACCGCTATGATCCAAGCTGAATTTGGAATACTGTGGCTAACGGAAACTTGTGCTTTGTTCTTTGCCTAGGCCTGCATTCATATGCACTCATTCATGTCTGCTTTTTTCATTTATGTGAATTATGAAATGCAGTCCAGTGCAACTTTTTTTTTTTTAATAGAACTTCTAAAGTTGCAGAGTATTTGTCAAGTGCAACCTAATGAATGTTAATCAGATGTATTGGTGGGAATGGTAATACTATTCTCTAGCACATATAGAGCCGAAACACAAGTTTGTTCCATGTTTTGTTTCTTAAAACATTGTGGATATTAGGTGGACAGTAAAATAGTTCTGCTTCCTAATATAGTTTATATAGGCAGAAATTAGCAACATGTTGCTTTTTCTGCCTTGCAATTTCACTTACAGTTATGGTCAGTAAGCTATTTAATGGCAGCTTAGCATATGCAGTTAGTTTAGTATCAGCTGCTGTATAGGAAAATCTGTGATTTTTTTGCACGTGCTCTACTTAGGGGACTCGTTCACACTTGACTTTATTTCTAACTGTTGCCAAATGCCCCTATAGCGGTTGACAAACGTTAGACAGGCGTTTGTGAAGCATTTTTAATGCTCCCCATAACGCCCCATGCACGGCTTTGAGGCAATTGATAGGCGTTTGGCAACTGTTTTAAAACCGCACTACAAACTCCTATAATGAAGTTAGATGGTATTAACGCTCCGCAAACGCCTCGCAAAAGCTCCTGCCAGGCATTTGCGGAACGGCACCATAGACTTGAATGGGAGTCTTCAACTCCTGACTCGACCCGAGGCATCAGGTTTGCCGCAACGCTAAACGCTTTCGTGTGAACAGCACTGTTGCACTGTGTGCTGCCACGTGCAGAATTTTCATAGGCGTTTGAGAAGCATTAAAAATGCTCCCCAAACGCCTGTCTGACGTCTGCTGACAAAGCTAGTGTGAACGTAGCCTTAGTTCAATATTGGATACTGTACATGCTCAGCTTTTTTTTTTTTTTTTTGAAATTATATTTTAGAAACAAAATTGCAGTGCTGCTTAGTAGCACATTGCATATAAAATTTAGTGTAACTATACACTTAACTCTTGTCATATTTTTATTGCTGTTTGTGCTCCCATTACAGAGTCACCCTATTTGTCCTGCTTACTGTTTTAATCCAAAGTGGAAAAAAAAAAATCCCAAATTTTAGGTTGACACCAGAACAGTAATAGAGGGGAAATCCAATCAGAGACACTAGTTCTAGTGACCTTGATAACATCCTGGGGTCCCTCACTTTGGAGGGATTTCTTATAACTTCCTGTTTTGGCAATAAGATAGGAAGTGGAACGCATCCACCTGAGCTCCGCTCATCTCCCGGCCCTAGAGACTCACCCACGGCGCATCGCTGCTCCACAGGCGTCCCTGGGTGAGTCCTATTAGCGGGGCACCCAGCTCTCCAGACCCCAGCCTCATCATGGGGAAGATTGGGTGCTGGAAGCCTCCTTCCCCGCCGCCACATGAGCCGTGGCTGTCACCGCTGCAGCGGTTCCTTCATAGGCCGCAATCCCCTATTTGTCCTGCCTCAATTTCGGCCCAAATTTTAGATCCCAAGGCCGAGCTCCGGTTGACCCCCAGTGGTGACCGGAGGGATACTGCAGCAGCTGCCTCTGCAATGCAGCCAACCTCCTCACACCCTCAGTGTCCCCAGATGGAGGAATCCAAGCCCTGACCCCTGTAGGGGGGGCAGTAGTGCATTCTCCGTTGAGCCCTTCACCACCTGCTTCTGCCAATCCTCATGTGTCAGCTACTCTCATGATATCTACGCTAGAGGAAAACCTGCAGGTATTTTTATGCAATATTACCGGCACTATAGCCGCTGAAGTGAGCAAGTTGGCTTTGGATCTTCGGGGAGAAATAGCGCAGAATTGGGGAACGTGCGGATCAATTGGAGAATAAATTTGATGAATTGGTGCAGTACGTCCATGTTTTTGAAGATAATGCGTATCTGAAGCACACCATGTCCCAAATTCAGCTCCAACAAGAGGACTTGGAAAACGGGGAACGCCGGCAATTTGCATCCGCATTTGCGGTATGTCTGAATCTATTGCTGATTCCCAACTTTGCTGACATCTCTTGTCCACCGCAACTGCCCCTTGGTCCCAGAAGCGAATTGGCGCATGGACAGGGCCCTTCGATCATTAGGTCCCAGACCTGCTGACCGCACCAGACCACATGATGTCATCATCCGCTTTCATTTTTTTGAGAGGAAGCCTTGTTAGCCTCTGTACGCAACATCCCATCCACAGGCTTCAGCTCTTCTGTGATCTCTCTCCGATTACCCTGGCTAAACGGCAAGCGCTGAAGCCACTCACCACTCATCTCCAGCACCACCGTGTCCCCTATCGCTGGGGTTTTCCCTTCAGGTTGGTCATCTCCAAAGATAATTCCAAAGTTACTCTACGTGATCTTTTTGAAGCAGACTCCTTCCTGAAGCAATTGGGACTACCTCCACTGCCAGAAGACAATTCCTAATTACTGCCTTCTCC